GTTTAACATAGACAATAATTTTCAAATTTTGACAAAAGTGTAGCCACGTGAAATTGATCACATGGAAAGATTGTCCGTATTCCGCTTCCAAAAATAGTAGCGAGGGGGTCGGCAATTCCGCAAGGTAATTTCTGGAAATAATCTACGGATCAGAGGCGGAATTTTGGGGGGGTCGCTGTGTGAGTTGGTACTTTTTTCCCCGTGAGTGTATCATACGAATAAGAAAAAACGAACGGCTGAACAAGCTTTTGGGAATGATGACTATGACTACCTCTACGGAATCGTATCCACGGGGTGAGATTGGCATTTTCTTGTTTTCACCACTGATGGGCTTTATTGTACTAGTGAAATCAATCTCTCAAAGACGGCTATCGAAGAAAATCTGGATATACTCCGAAATAACATAAAAAGGATAACCTGGATCATTGTTGGGTTGTTAAAGGATCGGATACTCCCCAGCCAGGAAGAGGGCCAGGATCAAAAAATTTACCGAGAATAAGGGTCCCACTTCACATATACTTGCAATTTATTTTTTTGTTAATAAAGAAATGATATTAGATTGTCAATCACGAGCTAGCTAGAGCTCAATTCCCAATTTACGAGATAGTTCATTGACCGTAATATAATGCCCTTTGTTTTGCGTGCGAAGAGAATTATTTAATTAGTCACAATAGCATATGGCAAATAATAAATAAAGCAACATCACTTACATTCATCTTCTCAATGAAGTTCATCCGTTCTTTCTTCTTCTGTCATCCGTTCTTTCCTCCAAAGTCGATCTTTCTTTCCAGCAAGTCGATCTTTCCTTCCAACAAGGTGATCTTTTTTTCCAACAAGTCGAACTTTCTTTCTAAAAGAGCTATTTCTTTCTTGAATAGACCCTCCATATTATCGATTCGACGCTCAATATTATCGATTCGACACTCAATATTATCAAGCTTACTATTCAACCCTTTGAGCTCCTAGGTTAAAAGAAGATGTTAGTTATTTCGCAAAAGAATAAATTATAACAATTTAACTTACAATCATAATGGGGTCTAAACGTTGTTGCATCAAAAAGCCATGTAGCCAAACGAGACCCGCCATCATCAGAGTGAACACAGTCCCGATACCTGTGACATATTTTTACAAAATTTCGTTTAATAATTTCTTGGATTGAGTTAAGATTTCAGTTTCTTGGGTTTGTGATTGCATTTTGGAAAAAGAGAACATGAAGACTGTTCATTTTGTTCGAGTAAAACCGAAGCCAGAGAATGATAAGCAACTAAATATTACACCCCATTCCGAAAAGGCCCCCATTTCGTTTTTGTTTTAATATGCCACAATAATTAATATGGAGTGCACACACCATTTATGCTCAATAACCTTCATTATTGATTCTGCTAAGAGAAAATTCTCTGAAATTTCGGCCGTTATTCTTTCCAAATAAACGATCTTCCAATTAACCGATTGTTGTGGTATGCTACGAGGTACATGTCTTTGGTTTGGATTTTGTAGATAGTTATAGATCTGTTCATATTCAGTAGTGTTCATTTTGACTGCTCTAAGTTGAGGCAAAC